CGGGCTTCGGCCGCCGGCGCGCTGGGAGGAAGGAAGGACCCAGTGTGCAGGTGACTCGGTCGGGCCCCGGCGCGGGAGTGTAGGGCGGGGGCGGCCGGGTGTGGCACCTAGTCGCCCTGCTATGGCTCCCGCGAGCCGCCGGACGGAGCGGTGAGTCCACTAAGGGCTCGGCGCGTCGGTTGACTGAGACGTGGGCAGTGCACCCAGTACTAACAGTTCAGCGGGTCCCACTCGCCGAGACCCGCTCGTTACCTGTGTAACCTAATTTCGGCCTCACCACAGACCTGACGGGGAGGTGTCCCTGTCCCCATTTTACTAATGAGAAAACAGGCTCAGAGAGGTGAGTCGACTTGCCCAAGGTCACAGTAAGAAGGGACGGGATTCCGAGCACGTAATCTAAGCCCAAAGCGAGTTCTGGAATGGTAGGGTATTCCCCAAATGGCTCCTGCTCACAAGCCGGTCTTTCTCGGCTTAAGAACCCCATTTTGGGATCTTGGGTGTTTCTCACATTCCCAGCACTTGGCAGGTTGTAAGAGGCCTTTTGCCTGCAGCTCATCTGAGCCTCGCAGCAGAGGAGGGACTTTGGTTGAGTGTGTTGAAAATGCAGTGGTAGCTTGTGTGGCATTGTGATTCAAACCCTGTGTTACCTTAAGCACGGTACTCAACCTCTCTGGGCCTCAACTTCACCCTCTGTAAAAGAGGATAATGCTCTTATCTCCTGATGTTCCTGTAAGGATTAAGTGTTAATTTAAGTAAAGCACCTAGAACCCCTTTATCCCTAGTTAGCTAGCACTGGGGGGAGGTGCAGGCGAGCTTGGAATAATTGCCATTTCAATTTTCTGACAGCTCAGTTTTGGAGTTCAAAAATTATTGCTGTCATAACTATAATTACTCTCCCCATTTCACAGATAAAGAAACAAAGGCCCAGGATTCCCACATTTCCCACTGGGTGCCTCTCCTCTACCCTAAGGAATGAGTCCAAGAACCAGCCTATCTTCCTTCAGACCTGGCCTTCCTGCTTTCACGTGCTGTTTTCCCACTCTACCCCTGTACCTCACTCAGGCATTTGGCCCTTGGTAGAGTGAGTGAATGAACAGAAGACCTCACCAGCCACCAGGGCTCTGGCCCAGTGGCCCCTGGCAGCACCAACCTCCTTGCTGCTTTCCTGGCCTCTGGGACTCCTCTTGTAGTACCCTCAACCCAGCGATCAGATCACTCCCCTGCTCAAAGTTCAACACCTCCCCAGTGCTAGTAGATCAGCTCTGCATTCTTGTGCCAGGCAGTCAGCGTCCATCATAATCAGACCCCTGCCTGTTGTCTTCCATCATTATACACACACATTTTACATGCTCGGGATACAGAACATGGAGCCACCGGGAATTCTCAGAGTAAGCAAGGTCCTTTGTACCTCAGATGGGACTGTACATTGCATTCCCTGCCAGGTCTGGAACATTTCTCTTCCTGTCCTCTGTGCCCCAACACACACATACACTCTCCCTCTCCTCTCTCCAAAATCCCCTTGTTTGCCTGGAAAATGCCTCCTCACCCTCCACGTCTCAGTCCAAAGGAAGCCAGAGTGCCCCAGCACAGATTTAGAATCTCCTGGTCCAGTGCTCCCTGAATCTATATACTTGGCCACTAAAGGGATGACCACATTGTTCTTACCAGTTACATGTCAGTGTCCTCACCAAACTGAGCTTCCTGTGGGCAGAGACAGAGTGTTTTTGTCTATATCCTGGAGGCCAGCCCAGGGCCTCAGCCCACAGTAGGTCCTCAGTAAACACAGTTCCGATGAATGCATGCACAAACGAAGGAATGACTCCCTTACCACAAACTGTCCTGGTTCGGACAGAGATGGCACAGACCCAGGGACCCAGGGCCACCAAACTCCGGGGTTATCCATCTCAAACCATTACTCTATTGAGGATAAGATCATGAGGCTCAGAGAGGGTGACGATGGCCCAAAGCCATACATGTTAGTGACAGAGACAGAACTCAAGCTTCCTGGCTCTTGACCTTGGACCGATTTCACTCTCCAACCCAAGAGATGTTTGAAGCTGCTCTAAGTAACTGTCTGGGATGCCCCGCTGGCAGTTCCGTCCCGTAGCTCCTGATTTTTCTCCCTCCCAGATGAGAAGACATCTGCCAACTCAGAGCCTCCATGGCCACATCTGTGTAATGGGGAAAATCTGTGGAGATTCTTGGGGCTGCAAGCAGGGCTTAGAGATCAGGATGCTCAGAGGCGGGAGGGCTCTGCAGTCGGCCCAAGCAGGGTTCGAATCTCAGCTCTGCCCCGTGTGTGACCTAGAACAAATGGTTTCTCTCCTCACCGAGCTTCATTTCCTGATCTGTAAAATGGACAATATGCACCGTACTTAGTATGCCTGGTGGTGAGGATTAAATGCGATCGGGCATGTCATGCACAGAGCTGGTTATTATCATCACTCTGGTTATCATCAGCAGCACTACTCCTGAGTCCTTCTCCCCATTTCTCTGCCCTTCTCTCCGCCAGGGACTTACCTGCTCCCTCCTACCAGGCCTGCTCCATGTTAGTGACCTTTAGTTAGTGTGATAAGGTAAATCCCGCCCAGGGCTTGAAGGTACCACCCTGCCCAGATAACCATGTTTGTCCGATCACCCTAGTGCCTTAACCCCCAAAAACAGCAGAGAGGAAATCATGAAGTGGCTGGGAAAGTTAGTGTTTGGACGCCACCCACCCCCTACCATCCCACCTCTGTGCATCCTGATCTCCCCGAGCTCTCTCTGCAGCTCTGAGAATCACTAGAGACTTTTCCCCATTATACAGATGTAGCCACTGAGGCTTCGGGTGATTAGCTGCAACCATTCTCTCATCTGGGAATGAGGAAAATCAGCAAGAGGCCAGCTCCTCTAAACCCGAGCTGTGCCACTCGAGCAAGTCAGCCCACCTCCGTGGGCCTCCATCCCCTCATCTGCAAAATGGGTGTACTGTCCCTAACGTGCCCAGCCTAGTGCTGCACCCAGGGCCAATGAGAATACAAGAGTCAGCCTGTCACTAAGAGAAGAGAGCCCTTGAGCCAGCCAGTGGCCCCTGGAGAGGCCAGGCCCCTTGTCTCTGCTGTGAAGGGGGCAGGAGGGAGCGAGTCACAGCTGCCTCCCCTCCCTGCCCTTGAGGAAACCCTGAACCAGAGGCCTGAGTGTTTACAGCCCTCTCAGGGCAGGGGGTAGGTTACGTAATGCCAGATGTTTGTGAAACTGGCTCAGGCCCAGGTCTGAGACACACTTTGCAATCCCAGAGCCCCCCACAGGCCATCCCACTCTCCCTTCCCCCCCGAAAACCTGGTTCCCCTTGGCCCAGTTGCTGATTGGGAGCTTTCAGCCATGTAGATTATTCAATCCCACCTCACCCCAAAAACTGAAAACAGCCCCAGTCCTGTCCTGGAGGTGGGAAATCCCACTCATTTGCAGAGACCACGGGGCCCTTAGGACTGTGCTTCCATCCCTCCTTTCTCATGTGGGAGCCCCAAGTCCCCCCCTCTCAGCCCCCACTCTCCCTCCTTTGACTAACGCCAACGTCCTTCCTCCCCTCCCCCTCTCTCCCACCCTCATCCCTCCCACCCCGCTGGAGCCAGCCTACCCTTTGCCACCTGAGAACCCCCAGAGACAGCAGGAACGGATTGAACAGCGTGGGACGGTCCCCGGGCATCCGCCATGAGGTCACCAGTCGGCCCTTGAGTGGGCTCCCAGCCTTGCCCTCCGCTGGCCTCTTGTCTGCCTGTCAAATAGGGTCCAGTGTTGGCCCCCAGGTCCCTTTGGTGGGATGGGGGGGTCCCGGACTAGTCTCCCCTGCCTATTCTGCCATGCCCACCTCAAAGGCCCATCTTTCTTGTCTCACAGAACTGCCAAGAAAAGAGCTTGTTGGGGCGCCTGGGTGGCTCAGATGGTTAAGCGTCTGCCTTCGGCTCAGGTCATGATCCCAGGGTCCTAGGATCGATCCCCGCATCAGGCTCCTGGCTCAGCGGGCAGCCTGCTTCTCCCTCTCCCTCTGCCTCTGCCTCTCCCCCTGCTCATGCTCTCTCTCTCTCTATCTCTGTGTCTCGAATGAATAAATAAAAAAATCTTAAAAAAAAAAAAAGCGTGTTAACTCATTCACACTACAGGGTGTTTGATTGATAGGGCTCTTGGGGCTCAGCACCTTTGGAGACGTGCACTTCGCCACCCTAAAGTCAAACCACAGGTGGCCAGTAAGGAAGGGTGTGCAGACCCCCGACATATGTTCAGCCTGCATAGGGTTTTCAGATTATTTTGCGTTAGGTTCCAATGTTAAAGAAACAAGAGATTAACATATAACCGCCGATTTCCAGTTTCTCTTGCAATACCTAAAGATGTGGAAACTCTGGGTCCATCTCCCCCATGGCAACAACCCGTCTGGCACCAAGAGGTCACACAAGTGCTCCCATCTGCCTTCCCCTCCCCCCTTTATGAAAGGAATGAATCACACAGACTTCTGCAGCCACCCCTGGCAGAGCCCCCAAATGTGCCCCCTTTGCAGTCATCCTTGTTGGGGGACAAGCCCCAGCAAAGCAGAAGCATTTCTCCAAAGTCCCCCAGCAGCTTACTGGCAGAGAGGTAGGACAGAGTCCAGGTGTCCCCACTCTTCAGAATCCAGAGACCATCTGGCAGTGGGACATCAGGCATCAAATCACAGGCCCGGGAAGGCTTCGGGGGAAGGACTGCTCCCCACCTTCCCACCACATTCCCCCAGCACAGCCCCGGCCACTGGACCAGGAGCTGCATGCACTCCAATTTACTTCTGGCCTACACCCAGGCATGCAGAAGGTGCTGGCTAAGTGTACGTGAATAAAGGAATGAATGGATGGATGGATGGATGAAGGAACGAGCGAGTGAACCAGTCATCAGCTCTGTCCAATCCAGGTTGCCTGGGGCTGCAGAGAGGTTTCCATGTTGGTGGAGATTATAGGGGGACCCCTCTATTGCTATTTCTTCTTTGTTCACAAAACTCTGGCCCCAGGAAATATGAAGAAATAACCCAGAGAAAAAAGGAAGAGCAAAGGTGCCAGAGCCCCTGTGAGAGCAAGAAGCGCCTTCAGTGACCAGTCCTCTGTCCCCTCCCATGTCACAGACGGGAAGATGGGCCACCAAGCAATGAGAATCCTGCTGCCACTGTGGGAGGCCACGTGGGGAATCAGGACAGAGCCAGGAAGCAACATCCAGGCAGCAGAGGGACTGCGGGATGGGGGTCCCGAGCCCCAGGTTCTAGTTGGAGGTCAGTCACTGCCTGGCTGCGTGACCTGGGATGACTCGTTTCCTCATCTGCACAGTGAGGGGCAGAATCCGCCCCCCGCCCAGCTCTGATTAGCGGCAGGGCCAGACCGGGGGTTCCAGGCTGCCAGACAGATGCATCCCCCCCTCCCACCACCACCAATCGGCTTCTCAGGCAGAGCACAGCAACAGCGGAACAAGAGCAGGATGAAGAAAGAACAGCCGCAAGCAGCCTGTCTCCTTCTCCGTGCCTCCCGCTGCCGCAGGCTGTCAGCGCTGACCTCACCTCTCTGGAGGCCGAGGGTGATGAGAACAGTCTGTTTGGCAGGTTGTGGGGAGGGGTGGGGCGCAGCAATGTGCTCCAGCTGCAGCCAGGCCTCCCAGCAGCCTCACTGGGTCCCACCCCCTGCACACATCTCTCCCGCCCCGGACCCTGGAGACCATCCAGGCTCAGCTGACGGCAGCACCTCCTGGCTCCAGCTCTTGGAATCTCTACCGCTTCTCCCTGCCTGGCCAGCCCTCCAGAACCAGAAGGGCCTTGCCTTCAGACACCATCGGGGTCAAACTGCCATTTGCCCAGAAAAGGGGAGAGTGACTTTCCAAGACGTTCTAGCAAGTTAAAAGCAGAGCCCTGGGCTTCTGACCCCAGGATCGTTTACCTGCCCAGGTCCCCAGGCCCGAAGGTAGCTCTGCTGCCCAGCTCCTCGGGAGCCCCTCCTCTAGAGGCCCTACCATGCACACAGATGACGCCATGGAATAGCCAACCCTGGTCTGGATGACCCTAGAGCTCATCAGAGGACCTCAGCCCACCTCCAGTCTGATTTCCCTTCCCTTCACCTCCCTATGTTCCCACACCCACGACCCAACTACCGAGTCTGCCTGCTTCTGGTCGGTCAGTGAGTCTTGGCCTTTGCTTGGTTCTGACTCCTCAGGCTCCTCTGACTGGAACTGGAGATAAGAAAGAACACAGCTTAGCTCAGGTTATTCCCCAGGTTCCATTCATGTATCTACCTTCTTACCCACCCGTTGATCATTCATCCATCCAACATCCATCTAGCATTCAATATCAATAGATCCATGTATTATCCATCCAACCAACCAATGTCTACCCTACATTATCCACTCACTAACCTATTCAATATCCATTATCCCACTCATACATCCATCCTCTATCCATCCATCCTACATCCATATAGCCTTTCTCAACCCATCCAACATCCATCCATCCATCCAACCATCCATCCATCCATCCATCATTCTACTCATCCTTCCAACATTCATTCACCACCCATCATCCATATTCCATTTACCCTTCCACACACCATCCATACATATTCTACTCATCCATCCATCAGTTCATCATCCCATCTTTCATCTAAGCAACATCATCTATCCAACACCCATTATCTATTCCACCATCACCCACCTAACTTTCCACCCAACATCTTTTTATCATTTATCATATTTACCTATTTATCTGTCCATCACCCATATTGTCCATCATTCATCCATCATCTACCCACTGACCCACCCATCCTCCATTTGTTTCTTGCATGCATTCAAAGCATTCATGGATTCACTGATCAATCATCCATTGAGCTGAGCTCCTCTTTTGTGTCACGTCCTGGGCCAGGAGCCAGAAATGCAGAGATAAAGTAGGTGCAGCTCCCACCCCCAGGGGGCTCCTCTTTCTTATGGGGGAAATGACAGAACTACCGAGCCTGGAAGGGAAACATTTCCAACGTAGGGGTAGGGTGAGTATTCAGGGAAGATATCTCAAAACAGGGCACCTGGTCTAAGACTTGAACGATGAACAAGTGTTCGGTGAGAGAAGAGGGAAGGGAAGAGCATCCTAAGCAATGGGAAAGGCACGTGCAAAGGTAGGGAGATGTGCCCGCAGAGCTCTGCAGCCAGCTCCACGGAGTAGAGAGCAAATCTGGGGTGGAAGGAAGGGCAGCGGGAAGCCATGCCAAGGATTTGCATAGAGGGTGACCAACTGGTGCCCCAGCAACCTGGTAAATGCCTCTTCGGTGTCATTCGTGAAATGCCCTTAAGCACCTGGTGCTCCCACCCCTCCCTAGTGGCCATGGCTGACTTCCCAGGGACTCTGGAGCCTCACCAGGGAGCAAGTGCTAGGGAAGACACTTTCCGGTAGACCAGGCCAGGCAGCAGTGTCCCAGCATCCACTGGGCCATAGCACCCCTCCTCCCTGAGCTGCCTGTGGTCCATATACCTCCCTGACAAATGTGACAGCTTCTTGGGCAGGGGCTCCAAATTCCCCAATCCCCCTCTGGCCAGGGGGGCAGGACCAAGTTGGTTCATCCCTGCATCTCCGGTGCGTGTGCATTGAATCAATTGGAGAGTAAGTAGATAAAAGCCTCAGGGAAATACAGGGGAAGGGGCTCCCCAGTCGGACCCTGCGCTCAGAGGCTTCACAACATGGCAGTTAAAAGCTGGGGCTTTGGAGTTGAAGCTTTGATCTGATTTCTCACAATTTATGCATGCGTGACCCCCGGCAAATGCCAGACGTGGCTGAGCCTTCTATCAGGCTGAGGCATACGTGGCAAAGGATGTAAGACACCAGGCTCAGAACCCGGTATAGTGTTGTCCAGGAGGGAGGCGGCATTGGGCTGGACATCAAGGAAGTGAGGGCGTTTGGATGAACGAGCAGGAGCCTCCAAATCACCCCAGCGGAGCCTATGAGGGAAGCAGCTGGTCCCATTTTACAGGGCAAGAGAGGCTGGGTGCCCCAAAGTGCATGCTACATTCCCAGTGAGCTGAGGCTAGCTTGCCCCGCTCTGGCCTCCAGGACCCTCCCCAGCCACCAGCTTCAGGTAGATGCTCCGGGCAGCACCAGAGTACCACTGACTCTGTGACCCTGCCCCTGGAGCGAAGGAGGCAGGGAAGGGACCTGGTGAGCTCCTACTCCATGCCAGGCACTGGGCTTGCCTTGCACACGGGCCCTCATTTAAATAGCCTGGCTTAGCAGCCCACTCAACCCAACGAGCATTTGTGCAACCTCTTCTCTGTGCCTAAGAGGAGCTGGTAGGGGCCAGAAAGGGCTAAGTGAAGCTGTCCTGACTTTGAGGAACTTCAAATGGGGCAGGGGGAGGGGACTTGACCACACTGGTTGTGGTCCAAGCCAGGGTCAGTTAGGAACCACCAGAGGCCACAGAAGAGGACCTGCACAGCCGGGAAGGGGGAGTGCCCTGGGCAGAGCACCTTGCTTGAAGCCCCGGGGTGGTCTGCGCTGAGCCGTCCCGCGGGATCCCTCACCCCAGCCCCAGCCCTTACTAGCTGTGTGATCTCAGGTAGCTTAACCTCTCTGTGCCTCAGGTTCCTGATCTGTGAATACACAGTGCCTTTCTCATCAGGTTGCTGTGGAGATTAAAGGAGGAAAATACCCAGAAATACCCAAACCAGGGCTTAGCGGGTAGTAAATGCTGGTCATCAAAAAGTGTGGGTTGTTATCACTGCTGCCCAGTTGGGTGGTTGGGAAAGTGTTGGTCAGGAGGGAGGATTAGGGCTGAGCCTTGGAGGGCGTGCAGGAGCCGAAGGGAGGCCTTTCTAAGGATCCTTGTCTGGGTGGGGCGGCTTTTCAGGCTGTCCCTTGCACGTGAGACAGACTTACCTCCCAGTCTGGCAAGCTGGGACCCTCTGCAGGGCTCCTGCTTCCCAGCGGGCCCAACTCCTCCAGACCAGCCTTAGCTGAGGTCTCTGGTCCACTCGTCACTTTGGTCTTTGGCCACTGGGTGGCGATGCAGGCAGGGCTGGGCGGCTGGGCGGAGCTCTGGGGCCACTGCCCAGCGCTCTGTCCATTGACCAGGGTGGACTCCTCCCAGCTATCAGGCTGGCCCTGTCGCTCTAGCTCTGGGGCACCATTTGTGCCTGGGGAACCCACCTCTGGCCCTGAAGCCGGGGCCGGGGTACCCCAGTGTCCAGCTGGGTCCTTGCGGGACAGCTGGGCCTGCAGGAGCTCCAGGAGGCCTTCCCAGCCCAACCTGGGAAGGTGGGAGGTGAGCGTCGACTCCTCCGTGCGGGCCCAGGCCCCCTCTCTGGGCGCCCCGAGAAGGCCCACGAGGTCCCTCCCGTCGAGCTCACGTTGCCTCTCAGGGCTGTGCAGGTGTGGGCACGTTCCCTCAGCCCCCCAGCCCATGGTGGTGGGTGTCTCAGGCCTCTGGGATTTCAAGAACTCTGCTGGGTCTATCCTGGAGTTCTCTGGGGGGCTCCTAAGCTGGTGAGCACTGGGCAGGTCCTGCAGGCTGCCCCAACCTCTCTGAGCTGACCTGTCGGGGGACTCCCACAACCCATTACTGGGGGGCTCCTCCCAGGCCTCTGCCTGCCCCCTGTGGCCGGTGGGGCCACCCAGCTGCCCCCAGCTCTCCTCGGACTCCCTGAGAGGGCCCCTCCAAGTTCCCTCTGGGGCTTTGGCAACCCCCCGGTGGGGCTCCCCAAGTCCTTGCCAGCCCCCCAGGCCTGGGCCCTCCTGCAGGCTGCCGCACCCTCTCTCCAGATGTCTGTGAGGGCCCTGGGTTCCTGGAGGCTCCTCTGGACTCTGCCACCCCCCCAGAGGCTGTCTTGGGCCCGCCCGGCCACTTTCCAAAGGTCTCTCTGTCCGTCGCTCCCTCTCAGGGGTCCTGGCTGATGTCCTTGGGGGCAGCGAGGACCCCTGGAGCTGCCGGTCCCCTTCAGGCTGCCTCTCGGGGCTCCTGGGATGAGGGGGCTCTGCTTGTCTCCTCCGGGCCGGTTCTGCCTGCTTCGCAAGGGGCTTGGTTACCTGAGGATGAGGTGAGGGGGTGGGTGAGGCTCCAGGACCCTGACTGGGCGGTCTCTCTCTAGGACAGAGATTGGCTTTTGCCAGGCCTGGAGAGAGGCAGGCTGTCTTCACAGCAGCCTGGATGACAACAAGCCACAAAGTACCTAGGGTCCCTGATTTCCCTCCCTGGCGGTGGGGGGCGGGGATCAGCTCTTCCCTTTCACCCAATCTCCTCACTTTCAGAAAGAGATCTTTAAAACGCTGCTTACTTCCCTGCCGCCCCCCCCCCGCCCCCCGCCAAGATATTGATTCCAACCTGCGCTATCAGGTGCCGGAACTTCCACTACCAATACCCCACTCCACTGGGTCGGGCCTTGCTCTCTAAGAGTTTCTTTAAAAATACGAATGGCCACCCTGGAAGACATAGCCCTTAAAGCCGGAATGATGCATCCGGGGCTCTCCCTGAAAGCTTTTCAAGATAGCAGGTGCCTAATGAAGGAGGGTGACAACATGGAAGGGCCATCTACAAAGGACTAATGTGGGGTCCCTCTCAATTTTGCCAAGAGCTGCTGGCTCTTTGGGAGAGGGGGAAGCTGGACGCCCATGATTGGGGCTCGGACCCTTTCATAAAGGACCTCCCTTCCCAAGACTGCTGCCTGGCACCTGGGGGAGGGGAGAAGCAGTGGCCCACCTCTCGGGGCTGCAGGGGCCCAGGGCAGACTGGCAGTGCTCACCTCCCTGCTGAGGGCAGGGCTGGACTGTCTTCGGAGAAGTTGGTTCTGACCTTGGCTGGGCCGCTGCGACCGCCCCTCGTCCCGGGCCTGGAAAGCCCCCGGTGCCTCGGACTTCCTATGAGCAAATGCAGCCGCCCCTCTGAGGGCCCTTGGGGCTGTCCCACTCCCAGCATCCCGGTTCCTCTACTCCCGCCCCAATGGGAGGAGATGTGGGAGACTGGGGGGCCCGCCATGAGCTTGTTGAAGGGCCCTAAGTAAGGAATGATCCTCTCAGGTTCTCAGTTTCCCCTTCTGAAAAATGAGGATGGTCGACCACTCTAATCTGTCTACCTCAGGGGGCAATGAAGTGGGAAAAAGGGTAAGCACAGGATGGGGGGCTTAGCCTTGGCCTTGACTGCCTCCTGTCTCACTCAGTACTTCCTGTTTCTGACCACCACCCCACGAGTAGCCCACCACTCACCCCTAGACAAAGGTTAGACCGGACCTTGCGGGAATTAAGATTTATTGAGCACCTACTGTGTACCAGGCACTGGGCACACGTGATCGTAACAGCACACATTTATTGAGCACTTCCTATGTTCCAGGTGCCAAGCACTTGACCATCCCACTTTCTCTCACGCACCCCATGAGGTGGGGAGGGGAGATGCAGAGAGTTATGTACCCCCATATCCCATTCTTTCTGCCCTTTTCCTGTTGCATGGTGAGTTTGGGATTTCCCAGGCCCATCTTTCCTCCCCCTCGGTAACTAAGAGGGTTCCAGCACTTAGCCTTGAACACTCCAGGCCCTCCTAGCTGTCAGTAAAAGAGCTCTGGGCAAGATCAGAAGGAAGAAACATCCTCTACATTTCCAGAAAGGCCAATGTAAACTGTTCACGTAAATGTCACTTCTAAGACACCTGGACTCCAGGCATTGTTGCCACATCCAACAGAGATAACCTGTAAGCTGTAAAAAGTCCCTAGCTCCAGTTCATTGTCTTGCTTAACAATGGGTAGCTGTGGTTGTTAATATTTAACATGACATCTCTGTTGAAAGGTAGCAACCAGACAGAATCTGGGCACACCTCTCCCATCCGTATGTAAGGGCATCAAAACCCAAGACTCAGCAGCTCCACTGGATGTTTATTTCAACAGGTCTGACTTCATCTAAATGGACAAAGGGAGCTGGGTCTCTAATGGCTGGACTGAACTGAGGGAAGCCTGAAAGAGACAACCCGGTGCCGAGCCCCAACGGAGCCAGCCAAAAGGGAAGAGGGATCTCTGCTCACCAGACCTGTGCTTTGCCTTCAGCCTGCCTCTCCCTTGGGAACTACACTGAAACTCCACAGAGGCTTTAGAGAGTAAAAGAATTATGAGTTTGGGCTTTGTTGCTGTTGTCTATGGCTTTTGCCAATGTCATTAGAATCCGACCCATAGAGTGCCTGGGTGGCTCAGTTGGTTAAGCATCTGACTTCGGCTCAGGTCATGATCTTGGGGTCCAGGGATCAAGCCCCGCATCAGGCTCTGCACTCAGTGGGGAGTCTGCTTCTCCCTCTCCCTCTGCCTCTCCCCCTGCTCATGGTCGTTCTCTATCTCAAATAAATAAATAAAATCTTAAAAAAAAAAACACCAGACCCATAAAGTAAGTCGAGTTTTTGTAGACTCACAGGAAGCCAAAGTTCTCCACCCAAGTCAGTGTTTCTGAGTTTAAGTGCTGCCTGATCATTTTAATCTATCTGAGACGAGGAGGGTTCCTTGCTCTGTTAGATCTGAGGCCTCAGGGGGAGTTTTCCCCAGAACCAGGTGTTGGGGGCTCCACATAGTGAAAGCTCCAAATGACTAGGTTGGGGAGGATAACAGAGAAAACTACTCCTGGCTCCGGGCTCCTAGGCATCTAGAGGGGGAAGAATGAAGCTATCAAGCCAAAACGCCTAATGCTTTAATGGGATAGCCCTTTAAGAGAAATTTTCCAGGCTCAGTTAGACAATGCTTGGACAGAGTAGATGCTCAATAAATACATGTTGAATGAATATATGGAAGAAAATAAAAGCACGGCCCTCTAGCCACCCACTCGTAACTTTCAGTCTGTCCCTTACAGATATTTAAATAGTTTTAAAATTTCATCTTCAGGCGACAAATGTTTTTCTATTTGGAAAAAGTGCCATACAAGAGAAAATAACTTACGTACTCAGTAGAGTTATAAAGTCTTGATTAATAGTAAATAGTCTACTTCACCAAAATGTAGACTTCAAATATATACAATTTTATGTCTATCAATTATACTGCAATAAAGCTTTAAAAAGGTAAACAACTTCAAAGAGAGTAAAATAAAATGAATAGAAGTATCTATGGAAAAATAATTAAACGGTTAACAAGACTATATTCCTGACTATATCCCTATATTCCTGACTATATCCCTATATTCCTGACTTCTATTATAAACCTTTTCTCTCTCTCAAAGTTATCACCATAAGGAAAAAAAGAAAAAGAAGAAAATATAACTCTGGTATAAAGACCTTTAGTGTCCCTGCTGAATTATCAGATAAAATCAAAGGTATGCAAACTGATACTGGACCAAAAATAGTAATCATAAAAAAGGCCAAAGACAAGGGGGTTTTTAGGGCAGTTAAATACTCTGCATGATAGCATAACGGTGGATACGTGCCATTATATGTTTGTCCAAACCCACAGAACGTACACCATCAGACGGGAGCCCTGTTGTAAACTATGGACGGTGGGTAATAATGCCATGTCAATGTAGGTTCACGGTTTGTAACAAATGCTCCACTCTGGTGGGGGCTGTTGTAGTGGGGGTAGACTGTGTGTGTAGGGCGGCTGAATGGGAAATCTCTGTACTTTCCATTCAATTTCGCTATGAACCTAAAACTGCCCTAGAAAAATTAAAATGTGTGTTTTTTGTTTGTTTAAAGACCAAAGATAGAATTACAATAATGATGGAGACCCCAGGGGTTGTCACCTGGGTAGTAAATGGATAAAACTTACCGGAGAAGGAAATCTGAAGAGTAAGAGATAAGGTTTCTCAAGTAGATTCAAATCTAAGAGAAAATACTGCCCCAAGGAAAACAAGGAAGAATTCTGGAATGCAAAATACTACCTGCTCCCGGGGTGATGGAAAGTTTCTCAAATTAGGTTGTGGGTGGCTATACAACTCTATCTCAGTAAATACACTGTAATGTATTGAATTATACACTGTAAGTTTTGAGACTTCCAGACCTACTTTTTTGGGTTCTTTTAACCTTAACTAATGGTATTCCAGCCCGGTCCTTGAAAACTCTGGGGCTGGAACTGCTGGAGAAAGAAATCTCAGCCAGATGGGGAGGAAATGTTTTCCCTCCCCGAGCTGTGCCAAAGCAGACGCTCTGGGTCATAAACTACCTGTGCGGCCCTGCTGACCAAAGAGACTTGCGGGATACTGGGACTGGACTTCCGGCATTGTTGCCATGTCCCAGGACAGTGACATTTAACTTCTACAAAATTTGTAATTCTACGAGTTCTCTTATTTAAAATATGTGGCTTTGGCCATTCATTTTAAACTGACATCTCTTTTCTGAAATTCAAGGGGACCCATGAGTTTTCTTGGTTAAAGTAGAAGAGAAAAAAAAAAAAAAGAAAAGAATTTGAAAAAATTTTTTAAAAAGCAGAAAAGAATCATAGGTACTTTCTTTTCCCTCAGGTAAGAAGGAAAAAATAAATAAATAAACCTGGGATTCTGGATCAAAGAAAGGGTTTGAGAGTTTAACCTTATTTAATGTACTAACATTCTCCCCATTTTACAGATGAGGAAACTGAGGCTCAGGGAGGTTAAATCACTTTAGCAGGTCACACAGTCTGGGGAGTGGGTTTGACCCAGGATTTGAACCCAGCCCGCCTGACCCTGGCCTTTGCTCTTAACCACTAGGCTACACACAGTATCACTCGGTTGTCCAAAAAAACCTCCTAAAGGGCGCCTGGGTGGCTCAGTTGGTTAAGCGGTTGCCTTCGGCTCAGGTCATGATCCCGGAGTCCCGGGATCGAGTCCCACATCGGGCTCCCTGCTCGGCGGGGAGTCTGCTTCTCCCTCTAACCCTACCCCCTCTTGCTCTCTCTCTCTCTCTCTCTCTCTCTAATAAATAAATTTTAAAAATCTTTAAAAAAAAAAAAAACCTCCTAAAATGTGGAAACAGAGATGAAGTGACTCGCCCAAGGTCACACAGCCAGTCAGTGGCAGGGTGGGGGTCTGAACCCTTTCCATCTGCCAACCTAAGCCTGTGAACCTTCCACCTGTCCTGCTGCCGAGCCTCCTCCCCAGCCCACCTAGCTGGCCCCGCCCTGAGCTCACCTGCGCTCTTGCCCGAAGAGGCGCTCCACCTCCGCGCGGCCAGGGCTGCGGGTGCGGCCCCCGTTGCTGCACTGGGGCCCTGGCTCCCTCTGCGCCAGCCTCCTGGGCGGGGGCAGGTCAGCCAGCACGGTGTACTCCTCCCTGTCCAAGTTGTGCCTGGTCTCCCCAGGGGCTGCTGAGCCCCGGGAGCCCCCCGAGCTGCCTGGCGGAGGTGAGGGTGCCAGGAGCGCTAGGTCACTGGGGGGGTGGCGGGGTGGGGAGGAGGCTCTAGGTGCATCCCGGTGCCCGATGCACACTTGGGGGGGCAGCATTGGGGAGCCATGCCGAGAGTCAGTGGAGGGGGCCAGGCTCTCCATACTAGTCCCTGGGGGATCCTGAAAGAAGAGGGAGGGCTCAGGAGCCTGGCGTGGTGGGGACGAGAAGGAGGGTGCATCTCGGTGCCCAATGCACACGGGGGGTGGGCATGTGGGGTGCTCGTGCAGAGAGTCTGTAGAGGGGACAAGGCTCTCAGTGCTGGCCCTGGGAAGATCCTGGAATAACAGGGAGGGCTCTGGGGGCTGGCGCGGTGGGGAGGAGGCCCTGGGTGCATCACGGTACCCAATACACACAGGTGGGGGGAACTGAGGAGGGTCATGCTGGGGGGACTGAGTCTCAGCATCTGATGTGTCTGGGAGGAAGGGGAAGGGGTCAAACTGGGTGTGGCGGGGGGGTGAAGAAGCCCGGGGGGCATCCCGGTGTCCAATGCACACAGCTGGAGGTATATAGGGGGGGTTGTGGTGGGGCGATTCACTCTCAGGTGCATGGGGGTCTGGGAAGAAGGGGAAGGGGTCATGTTGCAAATAGCGAGGAGGTGAGGAAGCTCGAGGGGCATCCCGATGCCCAATACACACAGAACATGGAGGCTGGGAGGGCTCAGAAGAGGTCTGGGGTGCCCCGCAGGTAGCAGGGTACAGAGGTGAAGAAGTCCGGGAGGCACTGTGGGGGCCGGGGTTATGGGAGGAGGAAGCGGCCGGAGATGGTGAGTTGTGTCGAGTAGATCCGGAGGACGAGAGAGGTGGGTCGCGCAGAGTTGGCCTAGTAGGAGATGAGGTCTGAGGAGGCCTGTCCCCTTGGGTTGGCCGAAGGGCAATGGAGGCCCAGGGAACCTCACTTTGCTTGGAGCGAGATGGGGAAGAGGTTCGGGGGCCTTCAGTCTGGGTTGGGCGGAGAGGAAAGGAGGCCCAGGGAATATCTTTGTTAGTACGATGGGGAGAAGAATTCCTGGGATTGTCCCGTTGTGTGCAGCATCGAGGGGAGGAAGTTCTAGGGTTGTCCCGTAGAGAGGAAGACTGTGGATTGTCTCGTTGAGTATAAGAGGTTCTAGGGTTATTCCATTGCATACAAGAGGTTTTAGGGTTGTCCCGTTGGGTAGAAGAGGTTCTGGGGATGTTCTGTTGAATACAAGAAGCTCTGGGATTGTCCCGTTGGGT